TCAATATCACTGTTGCACAACAGTTCAATAAACACAAAGTTAATACTGAGTAATTTACATGTTACATTACATACAATATTGCCTCTTACATTGCTGTTTCGCCAACAAATCCGCGGTTCGTCTCCAAGCAACACACAGCAGTGGTGTTACTAAATGAATCAGTGTTCTGAATGAATCGGCTGAATGAATGATTCACTGACTCGCTGCCACCTACTGGTGTAAGGATGAGACCAGGTGTGCCTCACACTTCTTGAAAAGTGAAGCTGCGGGCTCTTTGATCGCCCCCTGGTGGCTGGCTGTGGTACAGGTCATAAACCCCGCCCTCTCCATGTAAACGAATGGGACTTGAGTCAAAATAAAAAAATTAATTGCGCTTCCAATACAATTTTCCGAAAGATGGTTTTGGTCCTTTAAGGTAGTTGTTACGCTGATATATGTTAAATTGTTCGTTTTATTTATAAGTTTGATTTTAGCTAGTAATTTGATGCTATACAAACGGGGCATGCCGCTATGGTTGATTGGGTCTGCGGGAGTTTGGGCGGGAGTTTGATACTACGGCTCCACCTCACGACACTACTGCGCAGACTCTGGCTCCAAACGAATCTCTACTGCTCAGACTCGGGCTCCAAATGAATCTCTACTGCACAGACTGGCTCCAAATGAATCTCTACATCTCTACTGCGCACACTCGGGCTCCAAACGAGTCTCTACTGCTCAGACTCGGGCTCCAAACGAGTCTCTACTGCTCAGACTCGGGCTCCAAACAAATCTCTACTGCTCAGACTCGGGCTCCAAACGAGTCTCTACTGCTCAGACTCGGGCTCCAAACAAATCTCTACTGCTCAGACTCGGGCTCCAAACGAATCTCTATATCTTTACTCCGCAGACTCTGGCTCCAAACGAATCTCTACTGCGCAGACTCTGGCTCCAAACGAATCTCTACTGCTCAGACTCGGGCTCCAAACGAATCTCTATATCTTTACTCCGCAGACTCTGGCTCCAAACGAATCTCTACTGCAAAGACTCGGCCTCCAAACGAATCTCTACTGCAAAGACTCGGCCTCCAAACAAATCTCTACTGCGCAGACTCGGCCTCCAAACGAATCTCTACTGCGCAGACTCGGGCTCCAAACGAATCTCTACTGCGCAGACTCGGGCTCCAAACGAATCTCTACTGCGCAGACTCGGGCTCCAAACGAATCTCTACTGCGCAGACTCGGGCTCCAAACGAATCTCTACTGCGCAGACTCGGGCTCCAAACGAATCTCTACTGCGCAGACTCGGGCTCCAAACGAATCTCTACTGCGCAGACTCGGGCTCCAAACGAATCTCTACTGCGCAGACTCGGGCTCCAAACGAATCTCTACTGCGCAGACTCGGGCTCCAAACGAATCTCTACTGCGCAGACTCGGGCTCCAAACGAATCTCTACTGCGCAGACTCGGGCTCCAAACGAATCTCTACTGCGCAGACTCGGGCTCCAAACGAATCTCTACTGCGCAGACTTGGGCTCCACATGACGTAATTTACTCAAGATGGCAGCAGCCATACTGAGATGCTTTGGCTTCACTTTTCTATAGTGGAAGAAATAAGAGACGCTTCGTCCATCTTTTTTTACAGTCTATGGATGAGACCTGCCGAAAGAGTCACTGAAAAATCTGCACCACAAATGAACAGACTGTGACCAGAGCCGTTTTATTCATAATCAAATATTCCAGAAAGCATGTAATAGCAATCTTAAAACACCTAAAAAAAACACAAATGATCTAACAGCCACTATAATCAGCCTTCGTACCTCAGTGAACTTTAATCTTAGATTTAGCTGATTAGTGGGGTTTACTGAGGCAAGGGTCATTATTACTATTGCTCATAAATGACCAAATCCCTGATCCTTAAGTACTAAACTTTGGCCCATGACCACATGTTTATGCAACAGATATGAATGATACATCCATCAGAGCAGCCTTTTTTAAATCTTCTTGAATTTTGATGTTTCGCACAACATAAAAAGTCCCTTAGACTCACACTGGAAGAGGTTTGTGATTCATAACCGGAGATCAAAATAGATTTAGCATAGACACAAACTGCTCAGAACACATGGGCAACGTATTGGCAACCACCCGCAACAGTCTATCGTCATGGTGGGGAGTTTTGCACAGGAAGACAGCAGCACTCATATTTTCTGCAAAATATGTGTATCTTATTTAGCCTTTAGGCCCATTTACAGCAAAGACGTTAACTATAGCTATAAAGTTTTCACTTTAAATATTCACTTTTCATTCTTGAAGATGACGTGAAAAAATTAGCCAAAAATCCTGGAGGAAAAAAAGACTTTTAAAGTGAAAATGCCATGAAAGTAGCATTATATTATATTCTGACTTCTCCCTCAGAATTATGAATTTATTTCTTACAAATTCTGACTTTTTTCCTCAGAATTCTCAGGTTATGTCCCCCAATTCTAAATTTATTTTTTTTAATCTCAAATTCAAGTTTATGTCTATGACTTTTTAGACAGATTCTTTTTTACATGTTCCAATTTTGACCTTTTTTTCACTCAAGGTTCAAAATACTCAATACCCAAATCTAGCACTGCCTGGTAACAACTGGCTTCAATATGACATACATGATGCTGACAATGTTTCCTCTCTGCAGGGTGACATCGAGGCAATAAATGAGGAAATGAACAGAGAGCTACAGGAAGAACAGACCCTCCTTCATTAAAGCCAGACACAGTGGATAAAGCGAGCCTGAGAATTCCAGCTCACGGGTCCCACAGTCCTGCTACGAGGGTCCATTCTTCTTTAGACTGTCATGCGCCGCAACTAAAGTTTCCCTTCCAGCAAACACTCATCTCACCTTCAAGGAATATTGTCTGATGCAATGCTGACAATGCAAAGCATGCAAACGGTTCATACTCTGTAACTGGCTTCAGTAGGCACGTGTGAGCATGGCACGGCTGGGAAGCGTGTAACAAACAGGATTCTCGGCTTATGATGGGACGGTTGTTGTGTGTATAAGAGAGAATGTGCCTTTTAAAAGAAGCTGTGGCTCACATATGGAGTGATTTAACACTCTCAGACAAATCTGTATAGGACAATTTAATTTGCTACATTTAAATATCTAATTTCTCAGGATTTAATATATTTTTAATAGCCGTTCCATTGTACTGTGTAATATATGCATACATGTAGCCCATGTAGTGTAATTGTTTTGTTTTTTTGACATCTTCCAGCCTTCAGCCCAACCGTTGTCTCAATATGCATAGATAAAACATAAGATCTCACAAGGTATGAATGTACACTGACATTAGATGTAGTTTTTCTTTGGGATGTCAGCTAAAGAATGTTTCAGAGAAATAAATTTGCATCAGCTAAATAAATGGCTTTATAAATTACTCTGTGAAATATTTTTTTCCAACTGACTACAAACACACAGAGACCACATATCTGTATTCATGTTTTTATTTTCATTTAGATATGCATTTACACGCATATTATAACGCAAATATACAAGTATCAAGCTGTTTTGAACAAGTTAGAAATCAATCGGCCCTAGCCTCTGATGTAATATTCATACAGATATGGGCAGGCTCAAAACATAAGGGGAAAAAAAGCACTAAAGAAATAGAAGGAACCAAACAAAAAACAAAGCAGCTTGTGGCATTGGATCAGTCCCGAAAGATTACGGAGCAGCACCAGAACGGCAGCGAGAAAGACCAACAGAGATGAGCAGTGCAATCACACGAGTCCGTGGAGGCGTCTGTGAACTGAGTGTTGAAGTGTGTGGGAGTCGTCGTCACTGAGCCTGAGTGCTGTCTTTGGTAGGCGGTCGGATGCGTAGTCCCTGACCGTTTAGCACAGGGATGCTACGCCGCCTCGCTAACATTCAATGCAGCCTCATCCAATACATTTGAATTCATAAGACACAAACCGGAAAAACTAACATTTTTCTATGATCCAAAAGGCACCATGAGTCGATACAGATACATAAACGGAAAGAAAGAAAAAATCACTTAATTGGTTGAAACAACCTGAATGTGATTACCACCATGCCAGACTCGCTTCCTCCCATAGACGGGTTTGGTCAAGGTCCCCGTGCAACCAGCAGGGGGCGCGACACGTGGCTCTTCACTGAAGCAGTACCCACACAGGCCTTGAACACATCTAGTTTTCCCAAAAATGACATTGGTCATAACGCTAAATGAGAGAAATGAAAAGCACAACAATGTACAAGAATCACTGCTGTGAAAGGGAAATCTACTACGGCCTGGTCCCTCACGGGCTCATCTTGTATGAACATCTCGATAAGGGCATCGGATCCCTCCAGACTTCCTCGTTGCCTTTGAATACTTGCAGATTCCTCATCTAAAGCTATATGCTGGCTAACTGAGAGTATATGTGTGTATATGTGTAGTGAAGGTGTCTGAATACACGGGTCAGTCACGTGGAATCAGTCAAAAACACCTCATATTTCAGCCCAAAATCACAAGTAAAAAAGACTATTTTTTAGAAACAATAAGATTTGAGACATTTTCATGAAAATTAAGCACATTTTCCCTTCTAATTCCCATAACTGTAATGGGGTGGAGGGGGGGGAGAGATCCACTTATTTTTGTAACGCAAAAATGATTTACATTTAAACCACAGTAGCATTTGTTGCACTGCCAGATTTATTTATAGTAATACAGAAATAAAATACTGTTTTATAGTATTAAGAATCTAATAAGGAATTACAAAGGGGGAAAAAAACTTTGATATATTACAATAAAGAGAAAGAGGGGGAAAATGTGCTTAAAGGGATAATTCGCCCAAAAATGAAAATTCAGTCATTTACTCACCCTCATGTTATTCCAAACCTATACGAGCTCATAGAAGATATTTTGAAGAATGCTGGTAACCAAACAGTTTTGGTTCCCACTGACTTCTATTGTATTTTTTGACAATATGATGAAAGTCAATGGGAACCAAAACTGTTTGGTTACCAGCATTCTTCAAAATATCCTCTTTTATGTTCAGGTTTCAAACGGCATGAGGGTAAAAATTATGACAGAATGTTCATTTTTGGGTGAACCATCCCTTTAATTTACACGAATTTGTCACAAATCTAGTCCTAAACAGAGGCTTCATTTCCACTCTGCAAGGAATGATATTTCTCTTCTTTCCTTCTAATTTTGGGCTGAAAATGAGCTGGACACGTTTCATCAACGCACTCGTTCCTCAGGCTCTTGATCGCAGCGACCCTGAACACTGAGGCATGTGTGATTGACAGCTACATCACCATCAGTATCTGTGCATCACTTCCCGCCTTACATTCATCTGTTGCCTTTCTGAATCTTATCCGAGCTTCGGTCTAACTGTACTGCACTGACCGACTGTCGGTCAAACGGTAGCCTTTGGTCACGGCGAGCTTTCTGAAGGCGCATCCTGCCCTTGACCAGTGTAAATAGTGGCGTTCCTTCTCTAACATTCGAATAATCGACCGACCAAGACGTTAAACCTCCATGAAACAAGCTTTAAAATCTTCAATTCAGTGTGCAATCCTTGGTAATAAAGTTGGTGTTGAGGTTAGCTGTGAAAGCTAGCATGTGGGTCAACTCAACCCATCTGTTTATATCTCTGTTTGAATGCAGGCGTTACGCACAGGACTAGTCGGCTGAGGAAGGTTATTGCGTTCTTTAGGCGAGCTCTGGCCCGCACATATTAAACTCACATTCTCCTCTGCAATGTAGCATAGCGGGCACTCTGCCGGCCCGTCCGGGGTCAGAGGGGCGACCGCAGCTTGTGGGAGGGTCCCAGACGCGGGACAGTTCTCCAGCCGGTCGTTCTCGACCTCTGGAAGAGGGCTGACCGCCCCGCCTGTGTTGGGATGTCGGACGTGAGACTCGTAGCAGGGCGGTCTGCAGGCATCCAGGTCGGAGCAGCTGAACTCTGAGAAGTGGCTGGAGTGTGAGTCGGCCACAGACGGCAGGCTGCCGCTCAGAGAGGGCGAGTCTAACTCGCTGGAGTTGGTGCTGCGGCGCTCTAGCAGCTGGGCGTCCATGTCTTCACGTGTCTCGTTGATCTTGGTTCCGCCACTCTTTTTGCGCAGCTTGCCTTTGCTCTTCTTGCCAGAGGAAGAGGAGGTGGTGGAGGACGGCTCCTTGGCCCAGTGAGAGGTAACACATTTGCCCTCGTGGGGACAGCCGGCGGGGCAAACGCCGGCCCCGTGTCCTCCGCTGCTGCCGTCGTCCATACTGCTGCTGCCACTGTGGTGCCTGAGCTTCCCTCGCTTGGACTCCACATCCACCTGCACCTCCATACTGTTCCCATCCCTGCTGCAAAACAAAGTCAGCTATTAATGACAGCTCGACTTCCACAACCTCCATCACTGAGCCACCTCACATTGTTTTGGGTGTATGAATACTAGGGTTGGGTACCGACTGAATTGTGTCGGTACTACAGAGTACTGATTCACGTTAAATCAATCAGTGCTAAATTTCGGTACCTGAGAACGCATGTGGGCGCATACGCTACAGAGAGAGAAAGAGAGACCCTGTGACGTGACGTCACCCCTGCAACTCGTTCAAACAACACACAGGGCAAGCCGAAATGATCTGAAGTGTGGTTACATTTCTAGGGCCATATGGTTTCTGTGAAAACGTGGACGGGATCGCGAAGTCCATTCATAAAAACGTAATATACTCTATAGCGCGGAATGCCACGGAATTCATCAATTTTGGACGAATAAATCAGAAGTAGCCACTGCCACTTAATTCGAATTGCGATATGAACTAGTGTCTGTGAATATTAAAATGCAAAAAGACGTTTTAAATATGAGTCCTGCATGTTCCGCTTGCCTCTGTATGTATGAATGCCGGAAACGCGGTTTTGTTTACTACACAAATACTGAAGCACGCGTGACGCTCGCGGTGATTTCCGGCCTCTGTGTCTCACTATATGACGGCATGAAAACAAAAACTTAATCTCCAGAGCTGCTGTGAGAGTCACTTCCCGAGAATTTTACCGTTTCATTTGAGAAAACTAGCATCATCATACTGTACACTCACAGACACTTCATGGCAACCTGTCAAAATAAAAGTATGGTTTAAAGTGTAACAGAAATATATTACTCTTGTATTACTTTTGTAAAGTATAATGTACATCTTTAAATATTCCATTTTCTATCAAATTTAAATAAAACTATTAAATGATAAAAATAAATATTACAACTAGATTAATCACTTAATTGTAGAAAAATTACTATGCTACAATTATTAGCCTATTAAAAATGTTTTAAAGGAATATTCACACAATTTTTCTTCCATGTATTAATTTCAACAGTAAACCTCAGTTTGTTTGCCAAAAAATAAAAGGGTTTAATTTTCATTTGATTTCAAATAAATGTTTAATGCCTTCATTTGATTTTCAGAACAATTAAAAATAATTTCTGGGGGAAAAAGAAAAAAGAAAGAAAGTTTGTAGGGCCCTATTGTTCAAAATGTTGAAATTGAGACTTATTTTTTGACTGAAATAAATGTTTTTGTAATTACACAGAGTAAAGTACCGAAAAAAGGTACCGTTGGGTACCGGCACCAAAAATCAGGTACCGATACCGGTACCGTACCGGTTCAAATGTGAACGGTACCCAACCCTAATGAACAGACCTGTCCAGAGGCAGGTAGGCGTTGAGAATGGATCCAGCCATTGCTTTGGTACTAGCGTTGTCACTGATTGTCCCCAGACTGACGGTGCCAGACTCCCCGCTCAGACTGCAACGCTCCTTTTGAACATCAGCTTGAACCTCCAACCTGAGAGACACAAACAGCACATTTAAAGCCTGTTAACTGATCCAAATGTTTTCACATGCAATTTGTCTCCGTTCAGACCAATGTGTGAAAACGGCAGACGGCAATGGAAGTCAAACAGCATTTACATGTTTTCAAACAGCTGTTGAGATTTTTGTATTCACTGGGGTGTTTATCAAATAACTAGTGGTTGACCAATATAATCGCCATGGCCGAAATTTATTTAATAACCAGCCAGGATGTTTTCCTGTTTGGCCATGTTAGAAGCTACCTAATAACTGTAATCATTTATTCAGTAACACTTTATTTTAACGACCAATTCTCACTATTAGCTAGTTGCTTATTAGCATGCATATTACTAGCATATTGGCTATTTATTAGTACTTATAAAGCACATATTAATGCCTTATTCTGCATGACCATATTTTAGATCCCTTAAATCAACCCCAATACTAAACTTAACAACTACCTTACTATTAATAAGCAGCAAATTCGAGGCAAAGTCAGAGTTAATATCTAAACTAAACCCAAACTAAAGTGTGACCCTTTATTCATATACTGTCAGCATTTAACAAATGCGTATTTTACACAAGTCTTTGAATATCTAATAAACATTTAGGCCTGGTTTCACAGACAGGGCTTAGATTAAGCCATAGTTCAATTACGACATTTATGTGGCTTTTATAAACGTACCTTAGAAAAAAACCTCACTGGTGTGCATCTTGAGACAAATCAATGACATTTACATATTTATGTCAGTGCACGTTTCTTTCAGTGTAAACAGCCCAGACATGTATTTTAGTCTGGGACTAGGCTTAAGTCTTGTCTGTGAAACTGCGGGAAAATGTGACAAATCTCACAAACTTCTGCAAATCCAGCTGTTAGATCTTCTTGTGTGCATAAACTGTATTAAAATGTGTGTGACGGTCTGTCCATGTGAAGGATCTTCCATCTTCCTCTGCTATTCACTGTTGCCTGGCTATATACTGTGTTCATGAGTGCCACCAATCGTGGTTTTATATAACAGCAGAGGTTCTGGGCATGAGACCAGAAGCATGAATCTTATTGGCTGCCTAGTTTTCTTGCAGTGCAATGGAAAAGACATTAAAACCGTTGTGATGACCAGTGTTTCTCAGCCCTGTTCCTTTTACTTTTTGCATGTCTCCTTAATCAAACACACCTGATTCAGGTCTTCAGCTCATTAGTAGAGTACAAGACCTGAAATGGATGTATGAGAGAAGCTCGACATGTGCAGTGTTGGGGGCTCCAGAAACACTGGCCTGGACAGCGTGCGAATGTTCCTGTCAGTCTGAAGACATATTAACAGCCGTTTGTTCAAATTTAAATGTTCATTAGTCTTTTTGGATTGTGGTGGTGTTTTGCATTTTGAACTTTAGAGTATGCCCACATTGTACATAACACTTAGATTTCAAAATACATGTCCCTTAAAGACCATTTTTGGCCAACGAATGCGCACATACCATGTAGACACTGTGTCACTGACCTGTTAAAGCAGTTGACCATGGCACTTCCTGACAAGCTGCCAGTGATGCTGGCCCCGGCGAGGGCCATAGTGCTGGCGTTCTCGCTCAGGTTGTCTCTCATTGCTCCAATACGCTCCATGTGGCTCCCGCTGGCACTCAGGCTGCCCGTCAGACCCCCCACACTGCCCTCGCCGATGCTGGGGTTATGCCTGGTCTCTGCTACCGAAGTGGTGTCTGATAGAAGAGAATGGATAGAAAGGGGTCATTACAGCAGTTCATAAAAATGTGAAGCATTCTGGAAAAAATGTAAAATATATAAACAATCCGTAGTACAGTTCCAGTACTTGAGATTTGCACTACAAGCCTGATTAGAGCCCTATGACTTCCGTGAGGCAAAAAATGCAGACAATTGCGGTCATAAAAATGGAATTTACTGTATAAGGCAGAATGCCAATTTAAATCAATCAAAAGTACAGCTGTACAGTTAATGAAGTTACAGTATGGATTAGTGTGTGCAAATATTAAAGTGCACAAAGACTTTAAATATAAAGTCAACAAGTTTCTGTGTAAATGAATGGCCGTTTCATCTTCTACTCAGAATCAAGCATGCGTGACGCTCACTGTGTTTTCAACATCTACTCTGTCTCACTGTATGAGGACGTGAACATGAACTTCATCTCCAGAGCTGCTCTCAGAGCCACAATATCACAATTTTTCACCCATGTTTTAATTTAAACGTAAGTCTCATCATTTTGTTTGTCAAAATTCCATTTGATTACATTTTACAAGACTGTTAAAGGTTTATGCATCTTTTTGATTATCAGCATTTTTGAAGTTTCAAAATCCTTTTTAATTATTCAAATTTAAACCATTAAAACAGAATCCAGAAAAACGACAACAGAAAACACGTTAATTTAGGAAAAGGCAGAATTTGAGAAACCGGATTTCTTACATATAGCACAAACATGTTTCTAAACCTTTTGCCTCTAGCTCACACTGTACATCAGGACAAAAGCTACTCGTTACCAGAGTTACACGAGCTTCACGGGAATTATTTGGTGTTTGAGAAACAAAGCTACTTGAACCTCGAGTTTCAGGAGTTGTGCCTGGAAAAGGATAAACTCAAAAGTCTCTTCTTTCAATGCATGTCTGTGGGGGAAGCAGTAACTCTAACACTTTTTAGCACACTCCGCTTTAAACTAGAACACACTTCACACGTTTGCATTAAACATGAGCGAGGAGGAGAGAAAGTGTGAAATGTAATGGACAACTCTTGGGGGAGAGACAGCCAAGACAGAGACTGTAAATTAGAAGAAAGAGACTGAGAAGGACAGATTCTGAACGCTTTTAAACACTGTTTGGGTGCCATTGAGCATTATAAAGGTGCTGTGAATAGGCGCGTGTTTGCATTCAGTGAGGATCACTCACCAGTCACAGCGGCTCCGGTGCCCACGTTCATGTCGTTCTCGTCATCAAACTCGATGCGCACGCCTTTACCATTCCCCGCAGACACGCCGCAACCACCGCTGCGGCACAGAGAGATGGGCACCACACCGTAGACGTACGCCAACATGATGGGCACTCCTATACCTGCACATGATGACTAAGATTATGCACTATTATCAGGATCATTAGCATCCATGAACATTATTAAAATATATGCGGGCTTTGTACACGCAGGCATAACGTAAGACGACATGCAATATAATTCATATGACTAAATATTCATAGTATTCAAATTAGTAAAACTTCATTATTAAAACTAGATGAAAATGAGTTTCAGTTTGAATGGTAAGATCAGATTTTAAGCTGCACAATATATCAAAATAAAATATATAATTATAACATGGCTTGGTGTGAACACTGTAACAAGAAAGCAAGATTTAAAATATTAGTATTGTAACTTTACAGGTTTACTATAAGATTTTTATTACCGTTTTAATTACGGTTGTTATTTTACAGTATAATATATAATAGAATTATTATTATGACTTAAAAAATGTTTTATGACAAAATCTGAATTTTATTAAGGGAACCCTTTTGAAAGGGTCACATACCGTGGAAATGAGGCCTATGAAAACTTAAGTGGAAAGATTAAAAAAAATATATATATATATAAAAAACCTTACTGATATGGTTATGGTTATTGAAAAGGATGGTTTGAAAGTCTTCAGAGTAAAAACTCATTTTTCAGCTATTTAAATTTTATTTTCTATGCAGATACACTGTCCTATAGAATCACCCAAAGATTCTAGAATTAATAATTCATTCCAAATAGAGCTAGTCATCTGGTGAAAATTACTTTATCTTTTCATATTGCAAAAATATTTTTTCCCAATATTGTGCAGTCCTATTTTTTTGTTATTCATGACATGTATGTGATAACACACCTACTGAAATTAGTTCTGCATTTTAAATACTAAATGGAAAGCCATGTTTCGGACCAAAAAAATGCTTCAATGTATACATTTCTACAATGACAGCTATTCTCAGTTGTTAAAGAAAATCTCTTGGGCTATGGACCCGGTGTAGATTTACCAAATATGACTGTCTGAAAAATGAATCCAATTTCATACCATGCAATCAGTTCAAAAGATTGGGTAGAAAACAAACAAATGAAAACCTCACCCTTGATTCTCAACATTCAAAGCCTGAGTGTTTGTATTAGCCACCCACCTTTCTGCCCACATACACAGGAATCCCAATGATCATTGCAGGTACGGCAATGCCAGCAATCAGTGCAATGCCAACCGGAGCGCCCACAAGTGTGCCCAACTGCCACAGGATTTTCTTCTTCCTGCTCCAAGGTTTCTTACCCCAGAACGTGCATCCTGAAGGACTGTGTCAGGAATAGAGAAATAAAACACAGAAATGTAACCTTAGCACAATAACAAATAATTCTGACGACTTTAACTTTCATCAGTTCTCACGTAGTGTCAATAATTCCGTTAAACTCTGATATCTGAATTATGTCATTTGGCCCTACATTGTGAACACTGCAGTGGGGTTCAGGACACTGACCTTAAGTAGTGCAGGTCAGAGATCTCCTTCATACACAGCCAGCAGAACTCACAGCCACACACAGCGCAGGTCATGTGATTACAGCTCCCATCATTCATCTTGATGATGTAGGCCGCACAGCGGGGACACGGCTTTATGTCATCGGCTTAGAGAGACACAGACACAGCAGTTAAAACCACTGCTTGTTGACATTTACAACATTTAGGACGTTTTCATACTAGGTTTGAAGATTTGGTACAAACCACAATGTGTCATTTGATTAGAGAGCATTTGATTTAGGAACAAACAACCAAAGAAAAAGGCAAAAATTACTTGCTCGTCATGAACAAATAATTTGAGTAGCTCTAATAAAAATCAGTGTATGTTTGTATGCATGTTACATTTGATTACTTTATCCAATTTTCTGTAGTATTTCTAACCTAAATACTGTTAGACAGACTTACCTGAAAAACTTTAAAGCACCATTTATTCGTTCTATCGCTTGTCATTTGTTTTGTTTTTTGGTTCCAACTGTTCACTTGTCTTCAATAAGTTTGAGTACTTCTTACTTATATTAGTTGTAGGGACTACTAGTTTTTCATATTTCTTTATTAAATAACTTACAAAGTTTCTGTGAGACGTAATTTCACAAACAGCATGAGGCTTGCGCTGCGTGTAAGCTATTGTGCAGCAATAGTCCCATTGTAAACACAAAAATGCACTGCATGAACATTTAGAATGTCTCACAATTGTTTGTAATTATGGGATACTTTTTTACTAACAAATAGCACCAATATGTCTCAGCTATTTATACATTATAAAACATAAGCAAACAAAAAATTCACTTGAATCATATCGTAGCCTTTAGTTAGGCCCACAGCTGACATAACAGATATCACAAAAATAAAATGAACCAGACTCTGATGTCAAGTCTGCACCAAAAGCCCTAGTGTGAGAACACTTCTAGTTGACAGATCCACTGGATTTGAAGGTTTGTGTATGTGTGTTTGGTGGGCTCACCAGCAGCGCCGCTCTCCTGGCTGTAGCTGAGTGATGATGATCTGAAGGGTCTCAGCCGGAGACTCTGAGCTCTCTGCTGTCGGGCGGCGTCACAGGTCTGATTTGGGTGCCACAGCTGTTTACAGTGGTAACAGAACTCAGTCCCACAGCCCTCACGACCACAGGTAATCTTTGGACAGCTGGCACAACCGAAGGCAATGACTGCATACCTGTCAAATCAAACAGACAAACACTTTCACAGCTATACACGATGCATAAGCTCACACATATCATCAAGCAAGAAAATCTCTATTAGCATTACTACAGTAAACTAATTGTTTACTAATACTTCATGTTTGTTCAAATCTCCAAACTTGAGTATGAGCAATGACTAGGGTTGTGACGGTGAGGAAATTTTCCCACTGGTTAATCGATGTGTGACAACACCGGTAATACCGGTATCACCGCGGGGGCAGGGCGTTCCCTCTTTTCCTCTGCTTTTAAATTGAAAGTAAAATGCGCACACCGCTTTTACAAGCTCTTTCAAATAGCGGCAATTGGGCGTAAAGCAATTGTTAGTTTTTAGTTTGTTTGAATTTTCCCTCGCTTTCCTTCGCTTTTAAATAGGTTAAAAGCACCATGCGCATTTTACTTTCACTTTCGAATTAGCGGCAATTCGGCATCAATTGCTTGAATGCAACAACAAAATACAACGTCAAACTCGCTTTAGCCTATATATAAAACATAGAACTTTTATTAACAAAACAAATAAAAATACACCATGCTACAGGGCAGGCTATGCCTAATTTGTTATAAAATAACATAACTTACATAAAGTTTAAATAGGCATACAAAACTGGAAATAAGTAAACGTATAATATATAACCAAATAAATAAGAAACGTAGAACGTTTATTAGCAAAACGAATAAGAAAGTTTGGAGGCACGGCATACACATTGATGTCAAATAAAATAAATAAATTACACAAAGTTTAAATAAAGTAAAAATCAGCAAACACTGTGGAACCAATTAAATAAGAAACGAATGTTTAAAAAAAAACTTCCAAAATCACCTTAGATAAACGGCAAAAGTCAACAGGTTTTTTAAAATCCAAAATATTGCCAAACAGGTGCTTTAGCATTTCGTTTTGAAACTAAATCATCCGCCATCGTCTTGTCTGTCTCACCGACGGTGGGGGTTGGTGCCGCGGTGGGCAAGTGGCATAACCGGTGTTGCAGCTTAACAACGGTATCACCGTCAACACAGTCTACCGCGGCAAGCCTAGCAATGACCACATTACCCAAAACAGCTGCAGCTATCTGTTAACAACATAAGTCGATGATGGTCGATCTAAATTAATAGACCTGCTAATCTGAACTGATGGCATCATCAATTACAACAGGCACTGGCCATTGTGACCCGATCATTATTAATGAGAACCTATTGAATGAAGCTGGACGTTGTGCTTGTCTGCAGAGCTAATGATTGTTGGAAAGTCACAAGAGGCAGATGGACAGATCTGATACCCCTTTTCTATCAGCATGAACTGGGTGCTAGTTCAGAGCTAGTGCTATTGCCGGTTAAGAGTTGGTTTGACTAGCAAGCCTTCTAAGAACCAGTTTGTCTTTCCATGGGCTACTGAGCCACCACAGAGCCAGGTCTTACGTCACTGAATACATCTCATCTTTCCCAGCAACGCTAGTGCGGCAGTGCCAAACACAAACACACCATTAACAATGGCGGACGTTGCATTGCTATTGGTGTTCACGGCTTTGCGAGCCTACACCGGCATCCAAACACTGGCTCTGAACCAGCACTCAGACTGTCTTGGTGGAAAAGGGGTATGAGAGACAGTGACAGGATCACTATGCTAAGTGATGTACGTGCTAGGCAGAAGAGTTACATAAGAGCCTTTAACACTCATTATCATGTGATAAAATAACACTAGAAGCGGAGAAAAGATCCTGATTGTGCACTACATGATCAGGCAGTTATTCCAACCACAGAAACAGGATCTCAAAACCTTATTAAAGAGTTTGCATGTGGATTGACATAATTGCACAATATAATTTGATACAAAAGAAGCTAACTCCATGGTGCAAACCAGATGTCATCTGGTCAACTGTCGGTTTTCCGTCTGAGAAAAACCTCCACTATATCGATTTCCACAAACAAAATGGCCTTTGTTATTGGAGTTGCCCATATTTCTACATGACTCTGAGAGTATAAGAGTAAACACAATGTTGGAGACATTAGAGACGTCCGATCTACAATGAACCCTAACAAAAGACAGCAATGTCAAAATAAGGATAGTGACAGCACCAGAACAAACGTCAAACAAGATTGCTCCTCCACAGCACAAAGAAAGCCCCGCATGCACCACACAGCATAAAACATGGAACAAAGCTTTTCCATTGTTCCAAACACTGCATATTTGTCTTCCACGACTGCGTACTCTCAGCCAGTCCTGCAACAATGCAGAACCAATGCAAGAATCACTCAGTCTGCTGTTCACATTAACCATGAACACACTCTACTAACATCTGATGGCCAGAAAGTGTTCAGATACTTTACCCTCGTTCTGATCAGCGTGTCTCTCTTGGAGACAGTCGAGTTTACTTAATTTTGGGGGAACCAACAATTTCACTTTACTCACAAATAAACGATAACTCTATGTATATTTTTACCTAGCTCAGGAAAAATGGCTTTAACATAAAAGAGAAATAAGAATATTCACAGTCTGCAACTTTTTTTGTCGTGTACATACACTACTTTTTAAAAGTTTATGCTCAACAAAGCTGTATTTATTTGATTAAAAATACAGTAAAAAATAATATTGTGACACTACTACAGTTTAAAATAACCAGTACCTATTAGGGATGTAACAATTAACTGCGAGCCGGTTGAAAATCGATTCAAATATGTGACGATTCAAATCAGTTGAGACGCTAAACAAATCGCGATTCATTTAGGTGTAGGAGTTTATAAGAACCCATGTCTGAGGGGAACTTACTGTCTTTAGAAAAGTTTAGATGGTATTTTTTATTTTCTTCTTACCTCTGTATAATGCATAGTAAAGTTCATAAGTGCAGCGCTGCTTTGTTTACAGCGGAAACCAGGAAACGCTTTAAGCGCCACCTGCTGGCAGAGAGTGAATCTGCATCTCGTTCAGCTCGTCTGCTGTTTCGGTTTCATGCAGATATTTTTATGTATAGTTTCACAAAACTGAAGTCAAACCATTCTGTTTTCGCTTCAAATTTCAAAATTATACTAATTTAGATTAAAAACTGCTCATGTTGCATGTATGCAGCATCTTTGTTTGGATCATGATTAAAATGCAGTGGTTGCCTCTAATTTTAAATGGAAAGAGCACAGACAAAGCCTTATTTTGTTTATATGAAGAGATTTATTTTATTTGTGTTACTTATTTATTTGATTTGGGGTTTGTTTTAAAATTTCAATGTAGTTTTGTTATTTACATTTACATTATATTTAAATTGTCATTTAGCAGACACTTTTATCCAAAGCGACTTACAAATGAGGACAATAGAAGCAATCAAAACCAACAAAAGAGCAGTAATACGCAAGTGCTGTATTAGTATATTATTATAGTGCTATATTTCAATTTCACAAAGAAACGTGCAGCATTTTGTCCAAGCAATAAGACACATTTAATTTATAATTTGTCTTAAATCTCATTTTGTTAAAAAATAAATAAAATCGTGAATCGAATCATGAATTGAGTGAATCTCTACATCCCTAGTACCTATTGTAACATTTTAAAACGTAATTTTTCTTTGTGATGGCAAAACTTAACTTTTTAGCGGCCATTAAGATGTTTTAAAATGCTTTTTAAAGACTTCTTATGCTCACCAAGGCTGCATTTATTTGATCAAAAATACAAAAACAGTTGTGAGAGAAAGAAAATTGTCAGATATTATTACAATTTAAAAGAACATTTTTCTATGTGAATATATTTTAAATTTTAATTTATTCCTGTGATCAAAAGCATCATCACTGCCGTCTTCAGTGTCACATGACCCTTTAGAAATCAGTATAATCTGCTGATTTGTTGCATAAGAAACATTATGATTATTCTCATCAATGTTGAAAACAGTTGTTAAGATATAATTGTGTTTTTATAAGTCACCTTTTTCTGGTTTATCTGTGTCTGATGATTGGCCCTCAAGCACTAAGTCTTCCAGGACAATACAAAACCCCATTTCACAGATTTAGCATGTCAACAAATACCATCTTGATATGAGAAGCCAATTCTCAATTTCCAGAAATATCTCTCTGATCACCCATCAAAGCATACCTCAACATACATAACTGCTACCAAACCTGCCATGACATGTAGACTAGTTCTTGTTTTCTACACTGATGATGCACTGACACGTTTAAAAAGTACCTAGCAAAAAGTACCTAATTTCTCTAAGTGTCTGGGGAGAGCTCTTTGTCATGCACACAAATATACACCCCCTCCAAAGTGACGGGTATAATAGTGCCTACTGAGAAAATAAAGTGTAATGATTACCAGAAAGGTTAAGAGAAAACGGGCAGCTCAAAAGGTTGTTATCATTGAAACACAGGGCACAGCTGGGTGCAGATCTGTGCAGAGATGAGTGCGTAGCATGCTCTCCACTGGCCTGATAAAAGACTCCATTCAAAGTGACAGTGTCAGGCCTACAAAAGCACTGATCACAACACAATACTGTGCCTTTGGCTTGTGCTGACTTCAGACGTCCCAAATATACTTGGCTCAGAGTCCGAGCCGAGCAAAAAGAGATTTAACAAGAGAAATGCTGAATCCCTCCCTGACCAATGACTGCAATTATAATCAAGTTGCAAGTCAAAACACTCTGGAGCCTCCTTTACAATTAATTATTTATCCCTTTTGCAACACATTCAAGAAGTACTTTTACACTACCGTTCAAAATGTTGGGGCCAGTAAAAAAAAAAAAAAAGGCAATGTTATGCAATGCAATAAATTAATCAAAGATGACAGTAAGGAAAAATGTAACAAAAGATTTCAAATAAATGCAATCGTTTTTAATTTGTTATTTAATGAATTCTGAAAAAGTATCATGGTTTCCACAAAAATATTAAGCAGCACAACTGTCTGGTACACTGAAAAGCAGCAAATCAGCATGTTAGAATGATTTCTGAAGGACAATGTGACACTGAAGCCTGGAGTAATGATGCTGAAAATTCAGTTTTGGTCACAGGAATAAATTTACATTTTACAATACATTCAACATAGAACACAGTAAATTTCAATTGTAATAATATTTCACAATATTATTATTTTTAAAGAATTTTTGATTAAATACATGCAGCCAAGAGACTTTTCAAAAACATTTTTAAAAATCGTGCCTACCCTAAACTTTTGAACAATAGTAAATGCTCTTAAAATTAGATTTCAATTGGACTTAAGAAACTATTCATTTTTTTTTTTTTTTTTTTTTTAAATATCATGTAAACACTGGTCTGACTTAAATTTCAATTATGCATCAGGTGTACTCTGACAAAAAGATTAAGACTGTAGCTCGACTATGCAAAAGCCTGCTGTAGGTTGATTATAATTGTGCAGGTGAATATACTTATTGACTTGGCTTAAGTCAATTTAGGTAAGAGGCTGTTAAATAAATGCTCACACATTCACACAAAATGACCTCTACTTCTTCTAAGACTGATGTGCCAAACAAACAGGCCGCAAATAAGCAAATACACACACATGCAGTGATAGCAGCTGTGGCAACACAAAGCAGCTGTGGCAACATCACAGCCATGCAGTTAAAACCAGAGCAGTCGTTTAGACCCAACCAGGGAAAAAATGTGTTATGGAAATTTCAAGTCCTATCATGCTGCTATAGCAATAGGATGTCAGCATTGTGCTGTACTGGTGACATAATGCAACCATATCACAGAGGCCGTACAACGCATAAAGGTTATACTTATCATCATAATACAGTGAAAATTCAAAACCATTCAAAAAAATTTTTTATTTTTGTTTGAAATATATTTGTAGTTATTTTATTTCAGCTAGTTTCCAGGGAAATGTTTGATGCAGTAATATAACAAATTAAAACTGACAAAAAAATTAATAAATAAATAAAAAGTATATAAGTGTGTGTATATAAGAATAAAAACAAAAAAGACAAATTAACTACAATGAAAATGGAAAATATAGGCTACATTTTAAAAAAAACTAATGGAAACTATTAGTAAAGACTATAATAGTATAATCCCAATGATACTACAATAACCTACAAGTTGCACATTTTCTTAAAAGTCCTAGGTTTCAAGTGTATTGGGATTTAGTTGCCACAGTCATTTCACCCTGCAGCCCAAGACTGTGTTACAATGTGCTATTCTACTAATGGAAACTATTAGTAAAGACTATAATAGTATAATCCCAATGATACTACAATAACCTACAAGTTGCACATTTTCTTAAAAGTCCTAGGTTTCAAGAGTATTGGGATTTAGTTGCCACAGTCATTTCACCCTGCAGCCCAAGACTGTGTTACAATGTGCTATTCTATGACATTAGCGATGTAATTTACACTATTTACTTTAATTCATTTTAATAAGAAACAGGTGAATAAAGACTGACAGTCAATGTTTAATGTTAAGAAATTATTATTTCAAGACATGTAAAGCATTTTTGCTCGTTTCTGTGGGCCGTCCCAAGCATGGTTGCAATGTGTTTACTGTCAAACTCCAAAATCTGATTATTTTTAATTCTTAAAAAACGCCATTATTTTATTTGAAGAAAAAAAAATTTTTTATATATCTTTTTTTATTATTAACAAAATATTTTAGTTTGTCTTGTATATTTTTTTCATTGATCAGATAAGATTTTAAGCTGTCATATGGTCACGTTACAACGTGCCCCTCAGATGTTACAATGTGTTCCACCTACGGGGCATGGTGTCACATTTCACTTCCATTTTTTGAGGGTAAATAAAGAAAAACATATACACTGTAATTATGAAACAAAGCAACATATTTGTACTAGACATGTGTAAAATTACTGTGGATAAAAAAATATATATATTCTGAACCCCATGTGGATTTACACAAACTGAGAAAGTCAAAAAGTGTTACTTTGTGACACGCTCTTCCCTACATCTGTAAATAAATAAATATAAATTCACGTCTCGCGCACTTTAATGCCCTTTGAATGTAACGTGTACGTTCCCTTGGAACTGGAATCATGGCGGAATTTCACGTGAAGTCCACTTCGCAGGGCACTTACAGTCGAATAAGACCACGCTTGAATGCTGCTGCCTGAATAAGAGACCTCCTTACTGAAGTGAAAGTGTTGACTGGTGTCACTATCTCCCTTTGAATGTAACGTGTACGTTCCCTTGGAACTGGAATCATGGCGGAATTTCACGTGAAGTCCACTTCGCAGGGCACTTACGGTCGAATAAGACAATGCTTGAATGCTGCTGCCTGAACAAGAGACCTCCTTACTGAAGTGAAAGTGTTAACTGGTGTCACTATCTCGCGAACGCGCTGGCGGATCTCCACCAAATTCGGGGGATCCCTTCAGCTTGAGGAGCCCTCTCGAACGCCACCCTCCGCGCGTCGGTAGCCCCCCGGGATCGCTAGATCAGTTGGCGCCGGACTGCGAATTTAATCACCCGTAACTCCCGAACCCCGGGAGCTATCCACGGGGGGGGTGGTCTCATTCGAAAGAGGGACTCGAGATGTACACTCGATTTGCGTTTGAGAGGGTTCCTTGAGCTGAAGGGACTGCCCGAATTTGGTGCGGATTCGTTGCACCGTTACAGAGATATGGCCATTCAAAGTTTCAATGGTTTTCCATAGACTTAAGCTTTAAAGCGTTTCATCCAGGTTGCAGTAGTAAACAATGGCGCGCGCTGTGCTGGTCAAACTAAGTAATTACACCATTTCAAGCATTTTTTCTGCATTATATGTTCTGTAAAAAAGATTTTCATATCGGCGGCATATTCGCAGATACCGATATATCGGCGACAGGCTCATATCGGCAAAACGATATATCGGTCGGGCTCTACACTATACTGTCAAAAAGCACCGTCTTTTGGATGAGACGTTAAACCGAGGTCCTGACTCTCTGTGGTTATTAAAAATCCCATGGCACTTCTCGTAAAGAGTAGGGGTGTAACCCGGTGTCCTGGCCAAATTGCCCCCCTGGCCTTTGTCAATCATGGCCTCCTAATAATCCCTATCCACTTGACTGGCTCTATGACTCTCTCTCCTCTCCACCTGTAGCTGGTGTATGGTGAGCACACTGGCGCCGTTGTCCTGTGGCTGCCGTCGCATTAGGGCTGGGCGATAAATCGATTTTATCGATTAACTCAAATGTGTAGTTTACATCGACTTGTTTGAATGAAAATCGTTTTTCTCTTTAACATCCGCCGACGCTCCCCTCTGGGCTCCCGTGGTTCCGAATGGGCTCAGCCCTCCCCCCGCGCGTTTGCCATAGAGATACACAAACAACATGGCAGCGAGCAGGGAAGGACTCATTTCCAAGAAAGGCACAGTGTCATCCGTAATTTGGAATTGGTTCGGTTTTGCGGCGTCAGACGCAGAACGACCAATTTACTGCAGCACCTCAAACAGAGGCATGCTACCGAGTGAGAGAGATGTTGACGAAATGAACAAGACCGCGGCAGCACAAGCACACCCGCCAAAAAACAATCTACAGCAGTGTTACTTATTGCGCGGCTTGCCAAGCTTTACTTTGTGGCTCGCATGGCAGTAAATAATATGATGATGTGATCATGCAGTCAATACAGATATTTCATAAAAACATTAAAAACAAGCAGGGCTATAACATAACCCATTAAAAAAAAAACACACCATGTCTACACTGGACGCGAGTGGTGCGGCACGATCCCCATCAGTAAACTGATGCCTCGTTCTATTTATGACAAACTGTACTGACACTACGTTCAGGTGATTTGCAACTGTAGTGTCAACAAGTGTAGACAGACTTTTAGCACAGCGAGGCGCGGCAAGACAAGTCGCCGCGTCCGGTGTGTAGACACGGTCAGACAGTGTCTGCTCTATCACAAATAATTTATATATAAAAAAAATACCTAAAACAGTGGCATTACAAGATGGAAATATAGACTAGAAAATATATTTACACTTGCTCTGTCCTACATTCATGACACTGACTCACTGCGGAGTTGCCAGTTTAAATCTTAACCGCTTTTAACACCGAAAGTGCACTTGGATGGTTAGATACATGATGGGCTAGTATAAAAAATAAATAAAATAATATTAATTAAGGTAATCCTGCTTTTTTAAAAATCATCTTGTCTTAGTTACACATTTGACTGGTAAATGATAAAGAATGATAGCCCCTTTTGCATTGCATTGCATATCAGGGATGACAGATTGATAAAAAGACATACTATTTATGACTAGATGTAGCCTAACTTTTGATACTTTGCGGTAAGAGTGGCTCTCTGATTGACTTTGCCCTATCAGTGCAGCTCCCATTAAAAAAAATTGTGAAGACCACTGACCTACAGTCTCACAAACATTTACAAACTGTATCCGGTATGAGAAGAATGTTATGTTACATTTTATGTTATGTTGCATTTTCACTGTTTACAATGGCAGGGCCTGCCATCTTGTCTTTTTGGCATGTTGTTTCTGTTTGCACTTTAACCGCAAGGGGGAAATCCAGATCAAATCCCAGAAGGGAAAATCAAAACAAAAAGTAAAAACTTGTTTTGAACAATTTCTTTGTCATCTGCAGATTGATTTTAAGTAGGGGGGAAAAATGGATTTAAATCGTAAATCTGAGTTTTTGTGAAAAAATCAAGTATTTTTTTTTAGGCCATATCGCCCAGCCCTACGTCGCATCATCCAAGTGGATGCTGCACACTGGTGGTGGTTGAGGAGAGACCCCCCTCAAAAAAGTTTTAATAAAAGTGCCCTTACCCGCAGTCTGGAGCAGGGCACCAGCGGCAGTCAGGGTCGGCCACCAGCCAGCGGCGCAGCATGAACTCCTCATATTTCTCCATGAGCACACGGTCGTTGAGTATCATGCGGATGTCGTGGGGGTTGAAGCGCTCGGAGCACTCTGGGCAGCTGATGTTGACCCTGCTCTCAGAGATCTCGATGCGCAGATACTGTCGGAGGCAGTCGGCACAAGAGCGGTGGTGGCATGTCATGATGTCAGGGAAGCGATCTCTGGTGTGGCGCAGCAGGCACAGCGGGCACTCCAGCAGTTCAGAGGTGGAAGCTGAGGATGAGGAAGATGAAGATGAGGTGGAGGCCACACCGGGAGCAGAAAGCGCAGAGGCGTGATCCTGCTGCTGGCACATTTCCGACTGCACGCTCTCCACACTAGCGATGCCGTCCCCTCCGGCGGCTAGTGCACGCGACTTGCGGGATTTGGGGTCCCCGCAACGCCGGCGGAACAGAGAGCGCAGCGAGATGCGGCGTTTTTTAGGCGTCTTCCGTACGGAGGGCAGACTGACGGATGAGGCAGCCGAGGGAAGGTCCCTCTCGGACCCCTGCTGCGGCTGATGCAGACTCATTTCTCCAGAGGAGGCACTGTGGTTTCCAAAGGACTGGGAAGCTTCTACAGGGAGGGCAGGAGGGGAGGAGGAGGAGGAGGGGGAGGGAGGGGAGAGAGAGGGAAGGGGGGACAGGGTTTTCAGAGGGGAGCGTGAGGTGTTAAGACATGGTGGTGAACTCTCCGCAAGCTGCTCCCTTGAGCCAGGCAGCTCAAGTTGGGACACACGGGTCAGTTTGGAGTCACCAGGCTGGATCTCGACCTGATCTGTGAAGAAACAGAGACATGGCCGAGTGAGACACAACGCACATCTAACAGTGGAAGACCGATGACCTCATTTGAAATACATTTTATATTGATTCTACAATATTTTGAGATATCAGTCAACATATTTATAATTACAATTTTTGCTTTTTTTTGTGCAACCATTTTCAATTAAAAAAAAAAAAGATTAGTTAATTTCTTTATCCAATTCACAGTTCTAGTTAGTATGAGAAAAAGTGTATATGTGTAATAGGCCTACACAATGCGATATATATTGCTATATGAAAAGATACAGAATTTTTCACCAGATGACTTAAAGGTCCCATGACATGCTGCTTTTTAGATGCTTTTATATAGGCCTAAGTGGTCCCTAGTACTGTATCTGAAGTGTCTTTCCCGAAATTCAGCCTTGGTGCAGAATTTGAGCCACTACGAGCCAGTCCCACAATGAGCTTTCCTTAGGATGTGCCATTTCTGTGTCTGTAGCTTTAACGGTTTACACCTATCACCATTTCTAGCCACTGGGGGACCATAGGCAGGCTAGAGGAACTCATATTAATGTTAAAAAACCTCATAAAGTGACATTTTCATGCCATGGGACCTTTAAATAGCTCCATTTGGAAAGAATTAATAATTCTAGTGACTGGGTGTTTTAAGGGAGTGTATCTGCCTAACAAAAACATTTTAAAATATCTGAAAAATTTGTTTTTACTCTGAAGACTTTGAGAACAATCCATAATGTTCAGTAATTTGTTATTTAAAAAACATAATAAAATAATGCTATTAGACTGTAAAAAAAAAAAAAAAGACCATTTTAAAATGACAATACTTAAAATTTTTATATATTAATTTATTTATTTAAAAAATGTGTATGTTAAACAATTAAGCTTTTATTTTTGGCAATTTTCTGGCAAACCTGCAGTGCATATATGCTTTTAATTAAATCACGTTTAGTTTTTTTGCTTTTTTTGCAATTTAATTTACACTCCACGCCATACTGTGATACCATTATTATTTTGATATACTGCTTCATTTTACCCATCATTTGTTTACCCTGATGTTGCAGATGTTATTGTGGAAGTGTAAATTGTTTACTGTATCCTGTATCTAGATTTCTATTTGACTGTCATTAAAGAGATAGTTCACCCAAAAACAGAAATTTGAAAATTAAATCTACTCACCATAATGTCATCCTAAAATCTACTTTTTGTTCTGTGGAACAAATTATATTTTGAGAAATTCTAAGAGTTTTGTAACCATTTGTAACGCCATGAGGACGAGTAAATTGGAGTGATGTTTTCTTTACCGAGAAATAAAAAAAGACATGCATATTTGGATGATGTCCTTTTTTTCCAGCTTTAAATCTACTTGAAATTAAACGTGATTACTGTATCAAATAAATGCTATTTGTCCTCCATATCGAGCAGCCCTAATAATGAATCATTCAGTAAATGAGGGTGGTTACTCAATTAACACCTGACTGACTCACTGAACTGCAAGTCATCACGACTTTCATTCAAAACCCAAATGAAACGGAAGCATGTTGCATGTACTTCACCTTATATGGGTTTTCATGAACTGTTGTAGTTATAACTATAAACGAGTTTTTGGCTTTGCTTTTAAAATAAATAAATAAATACAGTGTTACAAAATTCCGGGTAACTTTATTTCTTCTGGGTAACACTTTATTTTACAGTGTCCTTGTTACACTTGTACTTACTGTAGTAATAACAAACAAATTATGGATAATTACACAACTAACCCTAACTTAAACCCCAATCCTAATCTTATAGAAAGTAACTGTTGTTAATTCATAGATGGAAATAGTAATACAATGTATAGAAATGTTAGTACATGCTTTAACAATTGCACATTTTCAGTGTTCTGTTCATGAATTTCATGTGAGCAGCAAGTTTAAGGGCTGCAATTGATTCCTGCAGTCTGAAAACAAATGCCAAGATGAGTTTTGAGAAGCACTGACTCAGTGGAAAAGTTGATGAAAAGCTAAAAACAGCAAGTTCACAGGAATGAAACCATTACAAAAATACTGCAGAACCACTTTTGAACATGATGTGACCTCACTGATACTGTAACAGGATAGACCAGGGGTAGGCAGCCTATGGCACACGAGCAATAGGCCTGTTAGGAGCTATAAATACTATTAAAGTGTGAGAATTAACCTGCGCAAGTCTACAGAAGCCCGTGACAACCGCTGCACATACGAGGCTATTCAGATCAGCGGTTTAACAGCGTTCGTCAATGTCAAAATAACTGAGATGGCCAATCAAATCAAAGTAGGCGGGGTTTACGGTTCACAGAAGCAGAGTGTGAATTCCAGTGCAAAGCGTCAGTTTAACGTTGAAAGAGTGAGGTAAAGATGGAAATTACAAATGTAATATAAGACAACTGTTCTACGATAGAAATGTTAAATGACAGACAGCTATATCCAGTGATGCAAACTACTCGACTTCTCAAATATGGCCATTTTTTTGAGAGAGAGAGACCAAGAGAGAGATTAAAAGTTGCGTGTGTGAATTACCAGTGTCTGTCACTCTTTCTAAAAAAAAAAATGAGTTTAGTTACTTAAAAAAACTGCAATTTTACTCCCTTGTTGCTTGTCTCGGTGTTCTGTGCTCCTGAATGTTTCTGTCTGATCTCTGTGTGTGAGTGATGTGTGTTGTTTGTGTGCGTCAATTAAAGCAGCGCATTAATTAAACTGAACCGTTTTAATGCACTATTAGCCTGGTCTCACACACACATACGGTGGAGGGTTATTAGCAAAGCGGTTATCAGAAAACTTAAAACTACACGCCCAAAAGGTTGCCGACCCCTGGGATAGATGCAACTACTGCATGCCAGAGAAAGCAACAGAAACCATGATGGTCAGAAACCTGAGACAGCAGAACAGGCAAGAGAATGAGGATCCTCCTCCTCATTCATAGATGCGTTTCCTCACCCTGCCTGCAGGCCTTTCACAAACACACCAGAGAGGCTGGCGAGATCTCTCGTTTCAGAAAAAATTTAATTTACTTTCAGATCTAAATGAATGTCTGTGGGTTAAACGTACCATATTGTGGGTGCAGCAAGATACTTTAGTTAGCACAGAAAGTGTTTTTGCATATGAATAGGTGTGAACTTATCACATGCAGCACAATAAAAAAAAGTGTCAGACTCAACAGAATGAGGAAGAGACACTGGTATGAATCATCTGAGCTTCCCAAAAATGCTGCAGCCTGTCACATGAGAAGTCACAGGAATAACAGAGGACATTTACTGAATGACTCCTGACAATAATAAGAGGTGTTTTCCACACTCTGGTCTCTTTGGCAATTTGCATTAGATGTTTCTTTTCTTTGTGATCCAAGACTCTCTGCTGCCTCTAAGCCATACCAGAAATATTTTAACCTCCTTGTGCAAGTGCAAATACACACACACACTTTCCAGCTGGGGTTTTTCACACTCTCCATTCAAAACACACTAGGGTATTTGCTCATGAGTTTAAAGGAAGCAGATAGTCAGCCAAATGAGTTCCACTATATGATCAATGATACCTTTGTTTTTTAGACAAAGTCTGATAGGAATTGTGATGCACATTTCCAGAGCATCAATTGCTCCAAAAATATTCCACAAATTCTTACAAGCATGGCAGATGTGTGAGACCAAAACGTAAAGGGGACATAACACACACAGTTTCTGCCAATCTCATGTTAATCTTTAGTACCTATAGAGTAGTAATGCATCCTTCATATCTCTGAAGAGTCTTTAGTTTTATCAGATTTATAAAAGACAGAAACAGATCTCCTCTACGAAACCAGTCGAGCTCCTGGAGTCGTGCCGTGGGTGGAGCTAAAGAGTCACGAGCATGCGCAGCTTTTGCATAGCGATCATCTGCAAGCTGTGACATCGACAAATAAAACCGGGACAATAACTTTGAATTAAATTAACTATGGGTAATGAATTAACATGTTGATGGGCTGCTCTTGCTCTGGTTGATGTGTGCGAGCGCTCTTCTGGGAGAAGTGCCCATACAAGGAATCCCACCCTTTATGACGTCATGACTTGAAAAAACATATACTTGAAAAAACTTTCAGAAACTTATACGAACCCTGAAGGAGTGTATTTGGTACAGAAATACTCCGTCATACGTCCAACTCGTTTTTTTTTTTACTTTGGCCATGCTTAGCATGAGAAACCAACTCTTTAACAGTGTAAATAACTTAGACCTGTTAGGTGGCGTATCCAATGAGATCTCACAGACTGTGGCGCATCCAAGATAGCAAAAAGCAGATAAAAGTACACCACATAATGCTCCAAGTCTATACATCCCGAATATAATACAGTTACATTAATTAACTACATTGCTTGGAGAAAGATTAACTATATTACTTGTTTGTAATTACTTTAAATAATACATTTACTAATCTATTTAACATTGGTGCCACATATCTGGTGACTTAAACCTTGATTATTTCACAGCCAGGCAGCAGAGGAATCTCAACCTTCAACTAGCTGACCTGAGCAAGTTTCAGGGATTATTATTAACAGCAGATGCCAAGATCTCCATGTGTGTGTTTATGTAATACAAGGAAACTGAGATAGATGATTGTTCCAGCATGTTCCCCAGATAACAACTGAAGGAAGAGCAGGAACACTTAGAATAAATAAACTTATTTGGCCTAACATATATTTTAACGCGCGTTGTGTTCAATGCTGATTTCCTGCATTCACCTAAGATACACCCAATACCACTCAGGTGACTTGTCAAAACACACGTAAGGACATGTATGAGCCCTTGAGACAAATGCCACGGCAAGCTGATAACACTCAAGAAAGACAAGATACCATTAACAGCCACATTACTCTCATTTGGGGTTCATCGTATTCCCAACACAACACAAAAGTTGAAAACATCTTCACTGTTTTGCTCTATAGGTTTAGTCTAGTCCTGATAACACTGACTGGTATGTGCAAACAGCTCTTGCTCATTTTAAATCAACATTTGC